AAGATTTTTATTTATGTATGTATGTATTTATTTATTTATTTATTTTTGTACCAGGGATCAAACTCAGGACCTTGTACTTGCCAGGCAAGCACTTATTCCACTGAGTTATCTCCCCAGCCCCTGAAGAATTTTAAATTGTGATTCCTTGAGTGATAATTTCTCCAGACATAGAGACTTATCTTTAGTTAAGAAACCTATTTATTTGTTTTTTTTGTTTTTTTTTAATATTTATTTATTTTTATTTATTGCATTTATTTAATGTGTGTGTCTGTGGCCAGCTCAGCCCACCAGGGGGCGGGTCTGGCCGGCATGTGGTGCTGGGGATTGAACCGAGGTCCCTGTGCTTTGCCAAGCTTGTTCCAAGTAGGTGCTTTAGACCACTGAGCCATCTCTCCAGCCCCGGTATCCCACTTTTTGTAGGAATGGGAGGGGTACAAATTAGTTACACAAGGCAAAACTGGACTTCAGCCAAGGTGGTGAGTCCTGATTGGCCACAGAGCTGAGCATTGATTAGCCATGAAGCTGATTCTCCAGATTGGCTGGACAGCTGAGTTCTGATTGGCCAAAGTGGGCAGTGCCAATCAATCATCCTCTTGCCAGTCATTGGTGTAGGATGGTCATGTGACATGACATTGGCCAATGACCAGAGGGATGGCCTACAGATGTGGGTGGGACTCCAGACTGCCCTGACTGCACCTGACCCATTAGAGCTGCCAGTGTGGGTTTTCTGTTTGCTGCTGTAACTAAATGAAAATAGCCAGACCTGTTACCTTATAGGGATCAAAAGTCAGACATGGGTCTTGGGCTAATTTTTTTCATTACCCAGGGTCTGTGCATGTACCACTGTGCCCATTTTGAAGTCCATTTCAGTGAGAGTTTATCCCAAGTTGAAAAAAGGGCTGATGAAAAAAAAAAAAAAAGCAACCAACAAAGGTCACTTGCAAAGTCACAGGTTTTTTTTTCTTTCTTTTTTTTTTCCTTTTTGAGACTATGCAGTTCAGACCAGCCTTGAACTCACTATGTGTAGCCTCAAACTCACAGCTATTCAAGTTCTGGGATTACAGGCCTGTGCCACCAGGCCTGGCAAAACCACAAATTTATGAAACATCACTAACAAAGTTACAAAAAGAAACCAAACCACAAACTCTCTACTCCATATATATACATATATATATAT